GAAGATAGAAAAGGGGCTGGTAAACTTCTTTCTAATACCGCTCTACTACTTACCCTCTAGCTTTAGGCTTTTAAGCGTGCTCTTTTATTTCTTATTAGGACTAAGATATATCTAGTTAAGTTAGATATAGCAAGACTTGCTTTATTATTATCTAGAGTGTTATTATTGTTGTAGGACGCGTTCTAAACACGTTCTAAACACGTTTTAATTAGCAAATATGTATAACGCTAGCGTAAGACTTACTTTCTCCCCTCTAAAGCTTTTTAAGGTACCTTTGCTTAAGCCTATTAGGAGTTCTATAGTTATAGCGTATTCTAAACTTGCTCTAGGCTTTAAACTCTTTTATATCCTGCAGATCTATCTAGTGTGCACTACACGATGTTACTTATACAATTCTAACAGGTTAAGAATAGGTTATAAACTTACTTCTAAGTGGCCTTAAGAATACTTACATGCTTACTAGTTTTATATCCTTTCTAGCCTGCTTGCTTAGCTATATTTAAATAAGATTCTAGTTTTTCCTATACCTCTTTTAACATTTCACTATAGCATTGCATAATCCTAGTAGCAATTACTAGGTTTTTCTTATAGATTGCCTAGTTTTAGGCATCTTTAGAGGGTTTGTGTTCTAATTATGTAAGAATAAGTTAGGAACACGTTTAGAACAGGTTTAGAATATATTTACTTATGTAAGAGGAGGTTAGCAAGCTAAAAGTATTCCTCTACTATTAATGCCTGTAGTAATTTACTTAGACGTAAAGAGGTAGTATTATCTAGCTCTCTTTTATATACTTTGTGAATACTTCTTTGTAGATATACTTAACAAAATCTTATACAAGATTAAAGTTGCTAGCGCTAGTTACGCTTATAGGGATTAATTAACTAGAGATAGCGCCTAAGTCCTAGAAACAAGTTAGAAACACGTTACGAACATGTTGTGGTGCGCTGTAAAACTTGCCTATTATCTACTTGTTGCACATGTTAATAGTAGTCCTATAGAATCCCTGTAAGTGAATATACCTCTATAACACTTATCTTTTTATAAGTGCTTTACACTTCTAAAAGAAGTTAGTAATAGTAACTTAATACATCTTAGTTGTGTCCTTATCTATAATAATTTAGCTAAGTGTAATAACTGCAACATGTTAGAAACGTATTACAAACCTGTTCTTAATGCGTACGCTTCTTTTCCTATAGGTGGAAGATTACTATTAGAATCTCTACCTATGCCCTATATAACCTCTTATATAACATATCTATCTAGAACGTGTCTTAATCTAATAGAATTAATACCTGCTCTTTAAAAAGGCAAATAATTAAGTTACCTAAGCTTAATATAAAGATTTACTGTATGTACGCCTATAGTAACGTGTTAACAACGTGTTCCAAACCTGTTCTCTTATACCACGTATAGTTTTAGGATCCTAATGCTTTGTCCTCTACTTATAGTGTACTCCTCTAAGGCTACTCTTAAATAGGAACTGTAGAAGCTTTTCACGCTTTATAATACGCAAGATTTTATCTTTATTTGCAAAGCTAATATATATTTCTTTAATAGAATAGAAACCTTTAAGTTAGAGATAGGTTTAGAGCTAGGTTAAGTTTAGGAACTAGGCTGTAACAAGTTAGGAACACGTTTATAACAGGTTGCAAATAACTTACATTGCGTAAGCTATAGAGTAAGCATAGGCTATAACACCTTTACTACTTCCTTAATATTACTATTAGATAGTGTTAAGGGAGGAGGAGGTATATATGTATATATACTAAAAGAAATAATAGCAAAAAAAGGTATTGCTACTATATCTATTAGTATAATTACTTAGAAGGTAACTTTACACAGGATTTTAAATAGAGATCCTTGCCCTTATAGATAATTAACGCCTAGAACATGTTAGGAACGTGTTAGGAATAGGTTGCAATATGCCTACCACACTTCTTTATCTAGCTTGACTGTGGCTTAACCACAGAATATAAAGTAGGACTACTAGAAAGATTTAATATCTCCCTAGTTAGAAGACCTTATAGATATATAGAGTCTACCTCTAGTAGTACCTAACTAAAATAATGTTTTTTCCTAGTAGCAGATATTAGGCTGTAGTTCTAATAGCTAATATATAGTTAAGCCTGTTCTATAATTTGCTAACTTATTATTAATACGTTTTAAACATATTTAAGTTTTGCTCCCTACCTAATTTACTATAGTCCTTATTATAGGATAATAAGACACCTAGTAGTCCTTACAAATCCTTAAAGAGAAGCGCTTAATAAGGCTATAATAATAGCTTCTTATTTATAGTTCTCTTTATAGAATTTTCTTAGGTACTATACTTTTTAAGGTTTAGATCTAATTATACAATGCGTTATTAACAACGTAATAAGAACACGTTTGTAACGTGTTCTTAAGATACTTACACGCTTTTACCCTAGAGTATTAGTATTTATACTAGCTTGCTAGCTAGCTATTAAAGAATAGTAAAGTTGTAGGCCTGTTAAGATAGATAGACTAGCGGGAGTATTGTACCTGCTAGAATTAGAACAATTTAAGAACGTGTTCTTAACGTGTTACCTATGTAGCCTGCATAAGCACCTCTTCTCTTATTAGGTAAGAGCTATCTTTATGTTGCTAAACTAGTATTATATACCTATACCCTTAGCTGTGTAATTAAGGGTATGCTAGGAGAATAGCTGCATGCTTAATAATTGCTAGTGTAAGTAGTGGTCCTTAACTATTACTACAAGTAAGGTATACATTATGCCCCTGTAACGTGTTACTAACCTATTCTAAACTTGTTCTATTTACTTTTACTTACTTCCTTAACGCTACTACTACTATCCTCCTCTAGCACTTTATATAGTTACCTAAATTTATCTCTAATATTACTATCTAGTTTAGATATATTATCTAGTACTGCTATACTAAACTCTAGTATAGTATTTAGGAACGCCTGTATATTATTAAGAACAGGTTTAGAACACGTTTAAAAAAGATAGTAATAAAAACTGCGTTTACTTGCTTAAATTACCCTAATTTATACTTGACCATAGGCTAGTTTATATAACCATGAAAATTTGCCGCTGTGACGTGGACTTGAACCTACAGGGATATTCTAACCACTCGGAGTAAAGCCCAAGTCGCCCGACGCTAAACCCATGGTCATATGACATGCCACCACCCAGGGTCGACTACGACGCAGGGGTTCCATGGCTTACTGTGTATGGTGCACATCGCATCCCAAAGACTTCTTGTGCTCAGCGTGCGGCAATCTGCATCTAAGCGCCCTTCCACCCCACCCTCGCCCAACACCACGACACTCGACAGCCAGCACTCCAGCCAGCACTCTGCATTCCTTCTTCGCTCGAAAATCATCTTCCCCCCTTCCCCGCTTTGTCCGCGGTTCGAAACTATGTCTGGGGATAGACCCAGCGTTTGGAGCTATCGAAAAACTGCCGTCATCATTCGTCCTAGAAATGAAAAGTTACAGGACCATGACTCGTGACCATAGTTGCGGCTGCGGCTACCGGCGTTGGTTGCATAATTCCCAGAGTATGTACTTGGTATAGGTACACATGTAGCCTAACTCGATTTAAACAGGTTCGAAAGGGGAGTGTACATGATGCTAATGCATGCACGCATCGACCATGCCAATTACTTATTCCCAACATTGTACATGCGAATTGGGACGTATCTGCCCAACCAACTTAGCCTATTGCAGACTGCACAGTACTCTGTGGAGGCTAAACGATCGTGGTCATATTACTTGGATGTCTTCGATCAATCCGCATGAGAGTTTGGGTGCGAGGTACAGATCGGACATGCTCGAGAGAGGCCCCTCGGGGAGTCGAGGGGTAATAGTGATGAGGCCAGGAAATCTTGGGTCGGAGCGGGACGCGGCGGTACAAAAGGCCCACTCCGCGTCGCGAAAGCGTTTAGAAAACTGACTCTGCCACAAGAGAGCAAAGAGAGCAAACGGTCATCCAAATACCCTTGTTCGGAAGTTAAACCCGTAGTGGGCAACGAGAGAAAAACTTCATTTGCCGCTCGCCTTGCCCCGACCATATCATCAGTGGAAGACGGCGTCCTTTGGCATTTCTTAATCTGTTTCATCAATCGGAGCGATGCTGTACTAATCTCGCAGTAGGTAGAAGCAGAGGGCAGCAGTCAAGGAGTACCCTGAAAGCACCAGACGAGTCACGACCGCTGAGTAGGAAGGGAGCAGAGCTTGGACCAGGGGTTCTTGAGCGCCGTCGATCGCATCAGCAAACATGAGTGGATGGACCTGTACCCATACAGAGTATATTGCGCTTCTGTTATGGCCTGCTATTATCACACCAGGAATGGCTCTCCAGTCCAGTGGGGTTCTTCTTTTGCACGATCAATATCATTGCATCGTGGTAGATGGACCTTCGGTAGCGTATCTAGCCAGAACCCATGCTCCTCCCCGCCCGTTGATCAACGTCGCCCCCAGACCCCAGGCTGCTCCCGCCCAGCTCAGCTAGCCAGCCAGCCAGCCAGCCGGAATTATTCGCCCGGGCAACAAGAGGGCAGGGAATGGGGGATCTAAAGCCTCGCCATCTCTTGACTAGCTCAGCGGCCCTTTGGCATGCTAGGCATATCCTCTAGACACTATCTTCAACACCAATGAGGGAAATATTTAGCATAAACAATAAATATATTCGACATGTTCGTTTCCTCTTGGGTCCCCTCCACTTTAACGGAGCTGTTATTTTTAACTTTTCAAGATCCGCCCGACCCCTTTTAAGAAATATTATGTATTTGACAAACTTTCCATAATCTTACAATTTACGATATTAATGTATAAAACCAATAACATAACGCACCCACTGCTAATAAGCTAAATTATCTAAGTCAGCTTACATATGTCCATCCACCCACCTATCAAAACCTTATTTCCTTCCCCCCCAATAAATGCACCGTGTGGAATCATAACCCGGGCAAATGGCCGCTCTGCATTTCATTAATTTACCTTTTTCGTACATTACCCGGGCGGACCTAACTCCTGTCCCGCCGCCAGTAGTGGCAGCCAGCCCCAGCCGAGAAAAGAGAGGGGGAGAGAGAAAGAGGGAGGCAGAGACAGACCGTGCGGTCCGCCGGTGCCGGCGCCGGCGTTTTGATCGGCTGGCTGCGGGGCGAGAGAATTTGTTTCAAGTTTGCCTATCTCCTGGCTCTTCTTTTGTTTTTTTTTCTGGCGGTTAAGCGAATGGACCTCGGTTCGGGGACTGGGCTCGTGTTGGGGTACGGTACCTGGCGATCATGTCTGGATTAGTGGACCAATGGGTCAGACGTTGGATGGCCCGGGAAGAGGGGGCTACGTAAGCGTTTCTGTGTTTTGGGATGGTCGGGGGTTGGCGGATGCGTGCTTGCGAGATGATGGACTGTGTCTATTTGATATATCATGTGAAGAGGGGTGTGTGTGCTGGGGTTGTTGGTTTGTGTGGATTGGTTGGGTGCACGACTGATTGTGTAGGCTGGAGAGGTTGTGCAAAGGCTGTTTGTTCGTTGTGCAGTGTTCTGTTTATTGCTGGAATCGTTTGTGAGCACGGTCGGGTTTGGGGGACCGTGGGGGATGATCACTCTATGTGTGTATCGTGAGTATAGCCGAAATGGACTATATTACAAGTTAAGGCGCTCGTGTTAATACCTAATGGGGCAATAGGGAAATTTTCATGCCTAATCTGACAGTTATCGTGTACATTGATGAGAAGAAGGCAATATTATAGCAACTTGCAATTTGACTTCATTCCATGTGGTATAGACAAGTAGATATGCTTCATCAAGACTCAAGTTTAATTTAGCTGACGATGAAATGTGACATTATGCTCATACATCTATGTGTCCTACCGAAGTAGCGCATCCCACTATTCAGGAACCTCGAAAAAACAGCCCCATGGTATCAAAGAAGTGCATATTAATAGTGGTGATATTAATAGTGGTAAAGTATGTGAAGTCTGCCAATGTAGTTGTATGTCGACTCTAAACACTCTAGTCGAGACAATAAAGATGTCAGGCCATGGCGTGCGCGCATAGACTGACTGTGGGTTGGGCGCCCATGTATACTATTCTATTCGTGAATAATCCATTCATGGATTATACGCACCTTTTTGGTTGTTTGGCGCAGTGGGAATAGACACCGTGTCCTAACAAAAGAGGTCGGCTTTGTATTCAAGGTGATTATGAGCTGTGTACATGTATGGGCGTCTTGTTGCATTCATCGCATGTCCAATTTCGGCTTTTGGGATTTACTGGCGGCAGTGGTCTTCTCATGTAACGTTCAACACACTCAATGTGGAAGTGTCGTCGTATACAGGCCTTAACTTGGTTAATGCGTGATCGATATGCAATGCGTCTCGTACAAAAACTTACAAGTCTGTTACAGGCAATGACTGGCGAAGCATTAAATGATACCAATGGATCTTCGCCACAGTAACATTCGTCATACGTAGGCTGTGTCGTTGAGTAGAGCCCAGGAGGTTGCATCCTTGAATCAGAATTCAATACTGTCTCTCGCATCTCCAGATCACCGTCTGAGTCTGTGGTGATAGGTGTGAGATGACCAGTATTCGTAACCTTGGCTTTTCCCCTGCCTTTCCTACCACTATTCGTTTTTAGGATTGGGTGCAATCCCATTTCTGTAGACTCAAATCTGTGTTGAGCTTCATCTGCGGCTTGGCCTTCAAATTGTGGAGTGCGAACAATTTCCAAACAGGCGGTATGTGTGTCCTTGGTTATGATATCGTCTTGAAGCAGCTCATCTAGCTTGGAGCTTAGCTCTCCAAAGACGTCCTCAGATAGCCATGAGTTCATTTCTCGCGTAAACCTCACTACAGCGTCACTTGCATGAATATCCGCCTGTAAATTCTCGTCCTGCATGAAACCATCGAAAGCTTTCTGGAAACGCTTTGCGACTTCGGTAATCCCTTCTTTGCTGATTTCTGCGTCTCTACGCAGTTGCATCCATCCAAGATCTACTTCTTCATCGGATTCGCTGATCTCATCTCCGGCATGTAGAGGTTGTTTGGTGACAGACCGAAAGAAGGTAATTCCAGGTGGGGCTTCTGGCACAATGTATGCCCTCTTAGGTCGTGCTGGCCGAGCCTGTACGGCTTCTGCGCGCTTTCTTATTGTTTTCGTTGTTGATGTCGTTTGTCTTCCTTTTAATGCAAAATGTTTTGGTGGGTGCTTCTGTGTAGCAACTTGATGAAACGCAGTGATGCCTTGCAGATGTAAGTCTCTATCGAATGGATGTCCTGGTGCATGCACATGAACATCCATCGGCTCATCAGCCCGATCACTTGTGCGTTTTTCAGCTCGATGATCAGCAACTTCGATCTCGAACTTCCAATGCTCAACACCCTGCTCATCCACCTCTTCCTGAAGGGCCGTGCATCTGAAGTGATCATGCAAACTTTCCAGATGCATCCTCAAATCCTTTATATCGGTCATTTTGGATGTCCTGCACCCGTCTAGTGGACAAGCCAACCCGGACTTCTGAACAATTATGTTGCCAAGTACATATTTTATCTGAAATTTCGGTTGTCGATCCACATCGAGTGGTGGCGTTAGATAAGGTCTCGTCCGCTTCTCTCTGCTTCTTAGAGTTCGATTTGATCGTACCAAAATCGACTCTGGCACTGTATTGGCCCACCACATGCAGACTTCTAGATCAAAAACCAATTGGTTTGTGTGGTCTTTCATTTGAAGCATTGTTGGCCCAGATGGGCAGTGAAGGATATTTTCATAGATACTGACCAGCTGCAATGGGTTTCCCGCAATGTTCTTTACACCCATGTAGTCATAAAAATCTTCAGCTTCATCTTTCGAAGTGAACGTAAGTCTGAGCTCCATCAGGTAGCTTGTTCCTGAGGTCACCCGGCTTGAAGTGGGGACCAAATTTTGGCGTTTAATAACAAAAGGTTCAATATCCACAGAGGCACTACCTTCCGATCCTCGATCATTGGCTTTCAGGACTGCGTTCAAGGTCGACCTCGTACGGCAGACCTGAGATGACTCTGGGAAGAACGAAGCTTTGATTGAGCTTTTGGCTCGCAACAAAACCCGACTTTTTCTCGCATGCGGAGTTTGGTCGCCATCTTGAGCGGAGCGCTGCTTGCCATGTACCCTGATGCTCTCGATATTCAGGAAGAAAGATCCATTGGCCGTGTCTGTCTCAATCATGTCGTCCAATTCGTCCCAAGAAGGGGGTCTCCACCTGACACGAAGGCTAAAATCAGGACCAACGAGATTCTCTGTATTTCCGCCCAGTAAAAGATGCTGGTGGACTTGGAAAGCGCGTGACAAGCTTCTGTTGAGAACCACGGGAGCTCTTTTGCTCGAGAGGTAGTCGTATAGTAATATGTTCCCACAAAATCTATCTTTACGCCCTAGCATACTCTTCTAGATTCATCTGCGTCAGTAGTGGACAACAACATCATTTTATTGACTTTTTAATATTCACTTACACTCGATCCCCGTGCTCAGTTGCATTCTAGGGCAACTGACGCTGAAGCAAGAAGTTAAACAGCGCATGTGGATTGCAGCACTACGCGACAGGCGCGTCAGCGCTCATGTGAAGCAGTGGCTTGGACAGTGCAATTGGAGTGGTCAATGAATGTGCGTTGTTGTTGACGGTGCCTTGCAGTTGCATAGGAGTGCACGTGCTGGACTGTTGTTGTTTTTGTTGTTCCAGCTTCTCCTTTCTCCGTAGGCGCGGGTGTCAGCGCAAGTGCGACGGGTGTAGACGTGTCAACTGCAGAAGCACGCTACAAGCGAGGGGCTACAGGCGTATATGCCGTAGGAACTGGGTAGCTGGGATGGGCGCTGGTTGATGTGCTGCTGGTCAGGTCGTGTGCATGTATTCGCGTTGGTCTGGTGGAGGGGAGAAGTGCAACGACGGAGTCACCGCCGAGATGTTGCTGACAAGTGCTGTGCACTCACCTCTTAGGCCATGTCAGCATTAGATATACATACACATGAGTGTTTCTCTCGCCTGCAAATTGACCACTGAAGGGAGAGTTCACCGGTGGTCTCGGGAGATGGTCATGTGACCACGTATTCCGTTAACTACATAAGGACGGCGCGCCCCAGTGCACGGTCGCCGGACCTGCATACTGTCGTCATGGCGTGGTCTTCCGGTACATGCATCGAACATTCACCATCACGACTGCGCGCAACTCAATGTCCCCCATGCTGGCATCACTAAGGAATCCCGTGACCGTATTCTGAGGCCTGGCTGCTTCAATCATCACCGCCTTCCAGCAACGACCAGCGACAGACAGTTCCCACCGCCCGGTCCGCGATCAAACTGCTGTGCCACCATGGCCGTTACACTGAAGCGCAAAAGAGGCGCAGTCTCATATAGAGAACCGAGTACCGATGAGGACCTGTCCGATTCTCCTGACCCTGCGCCGTCATCGTCTAGGTCAAAGCGCACTATTTCCTCCCGCCGAAGTACTACGAGGCAGCAACATGGAGAGGAAGATGACGACGAAGCAGCCAGTCAGGTCGCCTCCCCACACCCACCTTCGACCAGCAGATCAAGACCATCAATACGGGCACAACGAAGCAGCGGAAGAGCACCTATTTCGTACAAAGACATCAGCTCAGATGAGGAGGATCCGGACGCCGACTTTGAGCCTGACATGCAGCAGACGATTCCTGTGCGGACTAGGCCTCGCAGGCAATCCACTGCATCTCAGCCACCTCGTGCCCAGAAGAGGCGGCCATCAAGAGAAGAACGACACCATAGATCGAGGCTTGGTGCAGCGTTGAAGCCAAACATCGATGTCGTGAACGAGCCTAAAGCGGCGGAGATTCCCACAGATGGTCACGAGCCGGTACGTTGCTATGGAAATTTGGTAGCAAATGGTTATAGCGAGTCCTTCACACTATCATCGAGTGGATTTTCGTAATTTCAACTCAATGGATGCGATGCTGACATTTCGTGTTACAGGATTGGTCTTCTCTACCGTATCATGTACTGCTCCAGATCTTCGTATACGCTTCCCATCCACTACATGACGAGAACATGAGACCTACAGCGTCTATCAATTGGCTTGCCAGTATGGCTCGCGTGTGCTCACTGTTCACGAAGCCAGCGCTGACAGCATTGTACCGCAACCCACCTATATTCGCTACAAAAGCTCGCAAGGACCTGGTGTACCATCTAATCACGCCTTCTCTTGAAGACCATCTTGACTACCGAGTCATGGTCAAACGTCTGGAATTGGATGCCACACAGATGACTGCCTTGACAGACGCTACGCACAGCATTAGTGACCTAGCTTCTCTAGTGAAATCCTTGACAACTCTACGAGAGATAGATATCTTTGATCCTGTCGACAGGCCACCGTTCCGCGGTAGGCTCCGTAGGCTCCGTCGGTGGGTGTATCCCAATGAACTCTTTGATGCTCTGAGGCAAACACAGTTGCGCCTGAGGAGTTGGCGTTGGAACTCCACATTTTGTGACCAGGGTGTCCTCTGGATGAAGGGCATCCACGGCGATGCCGCCTTTCAGAGCCTTCGAGAGCTCACTATTACCAAGTTCCACCCTGACCCTGCGCCAGAGGAGGATCTTGAAGACGGTCGGAGCCCTCCGACAGCAGAAGAACTCTTAGCATCCGCTCTCACTGTACTTCCCAACCTCAAAAATCTATCATTCGAGACCTGTGGTGTCGTAAGTGGAAAGCTACTCCCACTACTTCCCAGCAATCTCACTAGTCTGTCTATAACCAATTGCGGTGAGCTGCTCTCGGAAGCTCTACAAGCCTTTTTGACAACGCATGGTTCACAACTCGAAGAGCTCATTCTCAATCACAACCAAGCTCTCGACATGTCCTTCGTTGTCGATTTGAGGCGCTCTTGCCCGAAATTGGAAGTTTTGCGCATGGATACAACATACTACAGCTCACTAGCCATGTCTTCCGACAACGAGCCGTTGTACGATACTTTACTAGGGGAAAACGAAATCCCCACATGGCCTTCGTCTCTAAGGATCATTGACATGGAATACCTCCGAAAGTGGAATGCAAAGTCCGCCACCAATTTCTTCAGTTCTCTCATCAACTCTGCTGGGGGATTGCCGTGGCTACAGGAGATTACCATCACAGCCATGGTCGATACCGATTGGCGGCAGCGCGCAGAGTTTAGAAGAAAATGGAGTGCAAAGTTCAAACAGGTATTTGCCAGGAAATGGGAGCCGCCTAGCGTTCATCTGGCATCCTTGCGGGCATTCCGAGAGTATCGAGAAGGCATCCAACAGGACCAAAAAAACGACTCACTGATGGAGGATGTTCATGAGGGCTTTGCAGGCCAAGTGGAGGCTGTGGAGACTGCCGACGACAGTGATAGTGATCGGCCGTTAGTCTCTTCGCGTAGAAGGAAATTGGAGGATTCCTGGGGTTCCACGCGGCTTCGATTACGATCAAAGGCAACGACGAGCTATGATGAGGCCTCGGACGATGATTCTGCGTGTGGAGAGACCGCGTCAGAAGACGAAGAGGTGCCTTTTGTACAAGGCCGTTGCCACACGGTTCTCTTTCGCGTAGACAACTTTCGACCGCGGGAGGAGCTCTATGGGGAAGCCGACTTTCTGGATGCAGAGCCCAGCGATGACGAGGAATGGAATGGTAATGAAGCGAATGAGGACGAAGGCGGTTATGCTTGGTAATGTGATGATGTCCAAGGCTAGTCAGTGGATGACTCCATCTGCTACACACATACGCACACACAGGCGCACGCGCGCAGTCACATTGTCACGTGTACCGACGGATGTGTGTCTATGTACGAATGTCGAGACGAGCATGGAATGATGGGGGATACATGGCATTGGCGTTAGTATTTTCCATATGCTAGGTTGGTATTGGGCAGGTGTCGGTATGATCTACGCATGAATACCCCATTGTATCACCTAAGGTTGGGCGTGGTAACCGTTAGGCTGTCATGTTGGGCTCTCGCGGGCTGGACTGGGCGCTTGTCGTGGTCCTACCCTCCTTACCCCGTGTGACGTGCTACC